TTTTGTTTCGTTAGTCGCAGTAGGTCAAGTTTCCGTTGTTTTTGCCTATTCTCGTACGAAATATCACATGCTCGCACCTTTTTCCGTCACTATGGGGACTTGTACTTCTATAGAGAATTGGTGTTCTTGCCTTCCCTGAAAAGTGTCGCGCGTGTTCACCCTAGATTGAAAACATTTCCAGTCGCGTGACAAAATAACTAATGAATATTTTTCTCAGTAAAATATTTTTCCATGAGTCATCACGAATAAACGAGCAGTCCTATGACGATTTGTCATAGCACAATGAAGTTGTAGCTCTCAAGCGCCTCAGTTCGTATTTATTGATTATAGATAATTTTGAGTCGTAATTATTTAGATTTAAGATTAACATCGTTCCCGATTAATGATGAAATCGTTAAAATTGCTGTTCATATCGCTAATGCAATAGTATATACCCTCTTGTCTGTATTACTTACATTTGCCATGTTGCCACTCGATCTCCGTCATGTTCTTTCCTAATATTTCCGACTATAACTTCAGCAAGTCGTACAACTCGTTTTTGTTGAAGCCTAAATGTCTTTTATGTCTGCTAACGAAATTTCAATACCAAAACGATAACAAGTACATACGTATTACATATGAATACTGATTATTGATGATTTCCAAAGTTTTCTACCTCATTTCGTAAAAATCGCATTCAATTTCGTAGTCTTCCTATTCCAACTCGTAGTTTTTGCACTCAATTTCATATTTGTGCACCCTATTTTTTGGCTTTTATTTGTATTTCATTTTATTTTTGTTTCACTTGCACGTCGCAAATCTCTTTAATTTTACTCAAAAAGTAAATGAATCCACACTTCTTGAACTTCGTGGGATTGAGCATTGTCCATTACCAAGAAAGCACTCACGATGCCTTCCTCCTCAGACAGCAAAACAGCTCATAAAGAAACTGGCAAAAGCGTTCCGTGTTAAAGGCGCCTATTCTCGGCGTATAGTGGATTGCGCTCGTCGCCGACTGTTCTCGGCACAGCAGATGGAGATGTTCTCATCGGAGGCCCTGACGCTATTTGTACGGCTGACAACAGATCGCACATTAGAAATCCTACGAAATTCGATGCAAATGTTACAAAGTGGGCTTCATTGAGACGAAATCGACTGGGAAATCTTTGAATCAGATTGGGAAAATCACGAAATAAGTGCAATATATGCGTAACTAACAACGAATAGATTTAGATAGATTTTCTGGGTTTTGTTGAGAAGATCATGCAAAAAGATAGGAAAGTTCATTCCAGGCTATACTATTGTTTTGCCATGCTCTAGAATTGCTCCCTATTGTTTCCATAATATACTCTGAAAACGAGATTTGTACTAGTACCTGTTCAACTGTCCCGAACAGAAATGGTAGTTTCATAGTTGGTGGTTCGGGTAAAATGGGGAGCTATATCTCGCAGGTGGTGTGGGAAGCAGCGTAAGTGTTTTTGTGAGTTTGGTTTTGATCAATTTCAAAGGGCAGCTGTGTTCTGCTAGTTTCGTTGCCCTTTTCAACTCCTTCAAGTGGTAATCGCTTCTGAATTAATCGAATGGAACTAATTTTTCCCAACGACGTCTTCTTTCGCATTTCCTTGCTTCTTTTCCTTCTCTTATGGATGTTCTCAAAGTTAGAGGAAACTTCACCCTGCCATTTTGAAGTGATTTAAAGCATGAACGCGCTCAGTAGGCATCGAATGGTTAGTAGTGGATTGAATTGGAAGTTGGTCAGCATTGCATTTCTTGTCATTTTCAAGTTTGATGAGGAGTTCAACGCCTTACTGTGACGACTACTACATAATCTTTACCGGTTTAGTCGCACTGTATTGCAGACTTTGCTAGAAGTGATTGTAAAACAACGAAGCAAATTCTCTAGCTCCCTCAATGGATATCTCGCTTACCGTTCAAAAAAACCCCATTTTAACCTATTTGAAAGGCTTTTTTTTGACAATAGTGAACTCGCTCTAGCCTTAGTGGGAAGAGATGCTGCCTAAAGTTAAGAGAAATTGAAGGAATGGTGCCTATACTAGCTCACCACGAAGTTAGTTTTGAGTGGCTTTCATGAGGCACATCTTGCAGTCATGTGAAGATTGATGGGTGTCGGAGGGTTTTTGGTCGTGAGCAACTGCAGGGTGGGTGAACTTCACCTATAACTTTCAAAATATGATCGCATCGCCAAGGAGAAGCTCTTCCTGTTCTCCTTCTACCTGACCAGCTGCTGAGCATATGAAGCTGAGGTCTGAGCATTTTGTAAGCGAAGTTCTGTAAATGTTTGACTTTAGCTCTTAAAGTTACCATGCCTTCATTGCTCTTTGAACCGATAACGTCTCGCCATTCCCGTTTCTCAGGGAAGGTTCGTGCTGCTTACTTGCCTTATCGTGAAAGTGGAATTCGTGGCTAAAAAGAGCCAGTATATTGATTCTTAGTCTCTCGTTTCTATTTTTGTTATGGTGGATTGGATAAATAGTCAAACTTTTTTTTTTAAATTCTCATAAACCATGGCCTATTGCTCGTTGAGCTTCTATCTGTTCGTTTGTTTACATCTTTTATGCGTGGTTTCATAACTCGGTGCCCATCCGAAGCCGTTCAATGCAGATTGTGATCGATTTGCCGAGTAGAAAGGAATACGGGGATGTAGTTATACTCGCACAATGAACATCGCAGCAGCTCTTGGCTGTACGTAATTAGCCTGGATTACATTTACTCTTTGTTAGAATGAAATTTAGGTAAACCCCTTAGTATTGTAGTTAGCCTTTATTCAAATGCGAGCTATGACTCCCCTTGTGCCTCTACAAATCAGCCTCTTAGTTAAATATTACTGTTATTATTATATTATTATCAGAAGGACCCCCCTTCTAAAATGGGAACAACGACAAGAAGAGTATAGCTTCCTCCCAGTGGTTATTTATGTATTTATTGGCGCTGTTTTTTTTTTCGAAATTATCACGGATTGGTGGTTTTCCCTGTTTCGAGTCAAATGAGATATTTGCATACTTGCTTTTATTATATTATTGTGGACTGCTCGAGGAATGGGGTTGGTTCGAGGCTGGGCTGTTAAGTTGTATCAAGATGAAGAATCTATAGATAATTTATTGCCAGCACTATTGAAGCTCGATGGGAGTGCTTATCAAGTTTCGTTTGACTCAGTGTTGTGTGTTCATATGGAACTGATCGTAATATACTATCGATCTATGTTCAATATTATGAATCATGTCGAAACAGCTTGCACAAACCATTTTCCATAGAAAACCCCATTTCTTAGAGGTAATTTCCCAAAAAAAGTTGCTGTCTAGAATTACGGAACCATTTCGTACAAGGGTTCGCAGATTGAGGATATGAACTTCTCGCGGTACTCGAATTAAGTCGTAAAACAGCGCAGCTACCGTTTTAAGATCAGTAATCCAAAGAACTGGATTAACTGCGCTTATTCCGACGACTAATAACGCGCCAGACCGTTGAGATTGAATTGACCGGCAACGCTCGTTTTTCTAAAAAACAACAGCAGCCGCTATTCATAAGTGTCACTCGTTTACTCACCATGGAAACTAATGCTGTCCAGCGAATGTCCGGCTGAATAACTTAGCTCGTATAATTATTCGCCCAGAGATTGACGTATGAAAAAAATCGTGGGGATTTGATCAACTGTTATTCATTTTTAGCCGAGATGTTGAGCTCGGAAACTTTTATAATGATGTTATTGAATATCGACTTGTATGTTGCATTTCTCCTCAATCGATTAATTGTGGTGTTATTGGTTGGTCTTCCGTCGTTCGGCACATTTTCCGCTCGAATTACCGCGATCTGAATAACTTTCGCTTCAGATTTCGCATCATCATACGGGTAATGTGGTAGCATACGGTGTTCTTTCCACATATCCCATTTGTAAACACCTTATAAGGTAAGTTTTGGCAGATAAATATTTTTTTGCGAGACGTCGCTCAATTCAATCTTTCTTCATGATCGTAACATGACCTAATTTCATTGTTGCAAATCTAGGCTGTGGGTTGAGGCGTCCCTTTTTTTGTTGGGATATTGCTTCCTATCCTACTTTACATTGGATATTTTGTAAGGTAAGACGAGATGGGCGCTTGCTTTTCACGTCATCGTAATAGTTCGGCTGATGGTGCTGGCGGCAGTATTCTCGAGCGTATCGATGCTACGAAGTTCAGTACAACGCCACAGACGATGTATCTGGTGAATAACGCCGGAGATCGAGAAGTCCATATGACTGAGCATTCAACACCACAGCGAATAGTCACGTCAGGTTGGAGTTTTTGATTTACACTATTCTTTTTTCTTGTTCTTATTTTTTGTTTCATCAAACTAATTCACTATTTTTTAGTTAAGCTTAAGCATGACAAAATTGCTCGTTTTGCTACTAACAAAACTTGTCATCACGATTTGTGTAATCGATACCTGCACCTTAATATCGGCACAGTTTTTATCGTTTTACCGACCTTCATTTGTTATTACCCGCCTGTCCTGGAAAGGTTCATATTACTAAACGCCTTTATCGTCAAGTGTACGAGGGCGGTATTAAAAATAGATAAAGGTGGAGGCTCAGGAACAGGGGGTTTTGAAATTCAGTTGCTAAGGCGCCAATATTTCGTCGGATACATCGGACTAGAACAGATTCTTGAGTGTTTGCTTATACTTTGGGTTTGTTTTGACATACGTATTTACTCATTACCTGTGATCGAGGTTGTCTTATAGCTATGTTTATTTCAAGGAGTGCGGTGGGATTCCTGCTGTGGTTCTTGCATTTATTTTTTGTTTCTTTTAATAATAGGTTTATGAGCCATTGTGTAATGAGAGTGAACAAACTTGCATAGATAGTGCTATAGTGTGTTGTTGTAGTAGTCCATTGACTCCGTCGACCCATGGCAATAGCTGGTAATATTGTCAAACATAACTTTTAGGTTGCACCACCAGATCTCTAACTAGCTTCCGACCAGTTCTAAAATTGAGTTGTTCATCCAGTTTGCGCTACGTCGGATGGGTGTGACTTTGCTAGGGAAAAAGTAGTAGTATAGGTGCCAGATGTTGACAATCCCTCTCAAGTACCCTGTTTCAGCTGACGGATTTTGTATGTTGAGTTGATGAAGCTTCTTAGTAGAACAGTGTCGTTCTGTCTCGGTCCTTCGTCAGCATCAATTGGACATCAGCAGGACAGCAGATCAACCCCCCCCCCCTGTATAGTCTTCAAATTCCCTTTGTAGGAACACCCGGTCCCTTGCTGATTTCGTACTCCCAATTGGTTCCATCAGTCTTCGAGTTGGTAAACATCTGGTGGCATCTACATCTAGCCAGCACCTCATGCCAGGTATCATAAGTATAGCGCGTGGTTTAAAGACAATTTTTATGAGCTCTCTCGCCTCTTCTCTTCCTGAAGGCGAATGAAGTATCATATACCGCCCTCCACGCTTTGCAATTTTCTGTTTCCCATCATACTTCAATTTTTGTCCATGAAATGATGAATATGATCGATTACTACTACTACTGAAAATTACGTTAACGCATAAGGCATCTCCTTCAAATACAGGCTTATAGCCGACATGCAAGCCACTGTCTGCACCAACACAAACATGTGCATGCATAGGAATGGATGTGAACACGCTCACTTGCTAACTAGGAATCGGTGCTTTGCAGCAAGGGCACGAGGTTCTTCGGAGGAAATTCCATATTTTTTTTCTACAGCCGTCTACTTGTGTAGCTGCTATACTTATTGATTCAAGTTTCAGATAAAGAAGTGTTGGTGGCACTTTATGCGTACGATTCGCGGGCTGATGGAGATCTTAGCTTCAAGAAGGGAGATGTGATGTACTTACTAGATCAAAGGTAAGCAAATTTTGTTGCGATTTCGTTATGACTGAATTTAGCTTCCTTGAACTCTTCTGATTTGATTGAGTAGAGCCCTTGGTGGAATATCGTTAATCTTATCTTATTTACTGCGCGAGAATATTGCGTGCATCGTGCTGTCCAAATCGTTATGAACTACTTACCACTTTGCATGCCCCGAATTCGTAACGACGGAGTATTTCTTACTTTAAATCGAGGTTGCCCAGTAACCTGTTTTCGTTCAAAGACTTGGATATTACTTGGGCTGATCGCGGTGAAGAATTGATTTGATAAGTTGTTAGATATAGTTGAGTATAAGGTAAGAAACCGGCGTAATATGCATTTCTGGTATTTATTGATTATGTCAACAAAGAAGAAATTGCTCGTTACTACCTACCATTACCAATCCTCGACATTTCGGATAATTAATCCATCTTTTTGTAACTTTATGCTTGAAATCACTTGTTTGCCTCTCATTTTTAAAATTTCTGCCATCATTTATGGGAGGTCTGGAAAAAGTGGGTATAGTTAGCAGCGAAGGAAGAGGAGTACTTAATTCTGATTGCTCGACAAAAACTCTCATCTGAAAAAAAATGTATTCAATGGAAAGGACAGTTTTGTGGTGGCAAAACTTTCAGAATATTGAAACTGCAAAACTTGTTAGAAATCAGAATACCATCTTAAGAATTTTGTCATGAAGTTGTAGTAGGAGAAAGGCTAGAAATCTTTTCATTGAACGTAAATGCAGCCCATAGTTTTACGCTTACTTAGTAATAAACGGGCTCTGCTGCAGTTTTCTTGAGGCTGCCTTTCTGTATGCTAGAACATGGTACTTATCTATGTCTTCTTCAGTAATTGTGATTGGTGGTATGTACGACATCAGCGTACCGGGAATACGGGATATGTACCGAGGAATTTTGTAGCTAAACAACAAACAATAGAAAGCGAAGAGTATGTTTATGTATCATTCCGTGTTTATGATTTTTCAAGTTCGTTGTTATTTACTGTTATAGTACGTAGGCTTTGAACTCATGATGGATTGTTTTAGATGGTACGCCGGGAAGATTCCACGAAATCGCGCTGAGCGACTTGTTTTAGCCAACAACTTGCCAAAGGGAACGTTTTTGATCCGTGAGCGTGAAGCTGATGGACGGGAATTTGCTTTAACAATTAGGGATTCAGACGATATTCGAGGAGGTACAGTATACAGTGCGTTTCATAATTATGTGATTTTTTGAGTGCTTTCCTAATTCACCCTTGATTTGAGGCTCAGTAAAACACTACAAAATCAAACGGCTTGACCATGACCAAGGCTTCTTCATCACCACTCGAAGAACTTTCCGCACATTACAGGAACTTGTTGCTTACTATTCTGGTCCGTTCAGTTTTATTCGAAACTCGTCCAAAAAGTTGAAGATTATTTTTGGTACAAGCGAATTTTAGAAATGGCCGACGGTTTGTGCTGTCAATTGACGTTTCCTGCTCCTCGAATTGCACCAACACGTCCGGATCTCAGCCATGATACTCAACAAAACTGGGAGATTCCAAGGAATCAGCTGCAGTTGAAGAGGAAACTCGGTGATGGCAATTTCGGCGAAGTCAGTTCTTTAATAGCCTCTTTTGTAATCCGCTATAGTTAGTTGGAAACCTCTTTTTTCATTACTTTATAACGTACTTCAAGTTGTTCAATTCACCATGCAGGTATGGTATGGTAAGTGGCGTGGAATAGTAGAGGTGGCGATAAAAACTATGAAACCTGGAACGATGTCTCCGGAAGCATTTTTAGGGTACGTCTACCTTCATTATAACCTTTATATTTTTGGCATCTCTATAATCTGCTCTTCTCTAACATTCATTCACACGGTTCCATGAACTATTTCCAAAGGTAGCCTTCAATAGAGGAGAATTAAGCACTAGCCCTCATTCCCATAAGTATTTTTCTAAGTACGCCTGCATTATAAGTGGTCCTTTTTTGCCCAACGCCCACAAGCCTGCGTCGTTAACACGCCAATAGCAATATTTATGGGAGTCATTCACCGTCCAATAGTTCCCCTTGAATGTTATGACCCACCTCCACAATTCTTTTATGACTTGTAATGAATTTCCGCACAGTGTAGGTAATAGGTAATTAACTAAGATCTCCGGTCACCGTCTTTGTGCTTGCTGATCTCATCTGGTCCATTGCAGCGAGGCTCAAATAATGAAGCAGTGTGATCACCCGAATCTGGTCAAGTTGTACGCGGTTTGCACACGAGAAGAACCGTTCTACATCATCACTGAATATATGTGTAATGGCTCCCTTTTGCATTATCTGAGAAACGAAGGTGCTGCTCTCGGAATTCAAGCCTTGGTGGATATGGCAGCCCAAGTAATCAACCTTAGTAGCCTTTAATAAATGATGCAGTTTCTTTAAAATATTCTTTGACAGATAGCAAATGGGATGATGTATCTGGAGGAGAGGAAACTGGTGCATCGCGATTTGGCTGCTAGAAATGTCCTTGTTGGAGAGAAGATTAGTGGTGTTCCAGTGGTCAAGGTGCGTTCGTCTCGTTGTATAATACTTACACTTTTTTCTATTGACCAAACTGCTTCGAAATGTGAAATAGCGGGCTTTATCCCATTTGTGTGTGTGNGGGGGGGGGGGGGGGGGGGGGGGGTAATTCATTTCCCTCTAATCTAGAACTTTTGTCCTATTCCTGTTGGTAGCAAGGTAACGTCGCCATCAAATCCACTCGATAGTGCAGGTTACAACCATTCATCGCGTTGTGGTCGACTCATTTACGGTAAAGGCTATTAACATAAATGTTGTGCAAAGCCATCTTAAGTAACGGACGGTGACATTATATGTCCTAAATGATTCGCTTGTTATGATATGAAGGCTTTGGACATTAAGCCCAGTTTAGTTTGAGGCATGAATCGCAATACCAGCATGAATTGCATGAGGCTGAGACCTAGATGGTTACACCAGAATTACAATGTTCTATTGCTCCTTCAATTGCCAAAGAGAGTTTTCATTGTCTATAATATAAAGATGCTAAAAAAGACAAGTAGGTATCCCCGTTATTTTCTAGTCGTCTTTTATCATTGAGAAATTCCTACATCAGCATCATCTTTTATTTCATTCTTAAAGAATGATTCACTTTTAAACATTCGTATATTTTTGTTCTCTTTTTCCACGATTCGTCAATTCTTCTTTCCTTTTCTTTTCTTTTCTGTTTCATTTTTTTTTTGTTTCCCTTCTCCTTTTTGATGATCGTCGACGATTCATATGCCCAAACATATACATATGTATGAATCACAACGTTGTTTTTGTTCAAATGGAGTTGCACGTGAAATTTGATAAGTGAGTATGCTCTTATTTACTAGACGTAGTGCGGTATGGAGCAAGGAAAGTTGGATGATAATAATAATAAATGTAATAGTAAGTTCCAAGTAAGAAATAAGTCAGGAAAGACAAGAAGAATGATGCTGACCAACTTGCGAAAAGCGCAATTCAAAGGAGGAAATTAGTTAAGTGTGAAGCAGTTATTTGACTAACAATAAGACAGTCGGGCAATGAAAGCAGCAAATGGAAAAAGTGAAGAGTTAAGGACATGTTTTCCTACTTGGCTTTCGCTTTGTTGATCATCCTGCTTCGCAATTGCTTTCGCCTTTACTCAATTACTACTAATGCGTTTTTTAAAGAAGGAAACTCTCACCAGTTTATTTAATAGGCCTACCGAGAATATTTGCTCGATTTGTTATGTTCATTACATTGAGTTTTGTCTTATTAGACTACCTTGAGGGTAAACTCCTAAAAACGATTATACAAGATGTTATTTTGTTTTGATCATCCCCTTATCAATTATGTATTGTTTTTATTTTTAGTTTTACACTTCCTTTGTAAACGAAACCCAACGTCATTCACCATTGTAGGTAGCCGATTTCGGTCTTGCTCGTAAATTGATGGAGGAAGACATATACGAAGCCCGAACGGGTGCAAAATTCCCCATCAAATGGACAGCTCCAGAAGCGGCTACTTGTGGTAACTTCACTGTAAAAAGCGATGTCTGGTCTTACGGCATATTGTTATACGAAATAATGACAAAAGGACAAGTACCTTATCCGGGTAAGTATACGCATATTTTCCTCAAATTAGGTTATCAAATAATCCAAGAATTTGTGAGAACGCAGTCTTTCAAAATTTCTAATGCAGTCATGCTGACGTTTTAAAATGTGATGGTGCATATTTTTTGGAAAGTCTCACGCTTACAAGAGAAATTCATTTTACTTGATATTGAAATTTCCTTAGTCGTTCGTTCAGTATTTTCTCCAATTCTGGAGATTCCTCGCAGTGTACGGTAGCTAACAATGGAAAACAGAGATTTCATGGTATTTGCAGCGAACCGCTTCAATGCTTTCAAATTTTTAAACCGTTCAAACCGAATTCTTTATATCCTATTTTGTCTACCTTACGAGAATAACTTAAGAGCATCTGGTCTCGTTACGTACTGAGCGATAAAAGAAGTAAACAACTTATTGATAGTGATTTACTATCATACTTTTCTGACGGTGCCTGGTGTAAACAGATCCGTTTTGTAATATGTATTCGAAGTTAAACAATTTCATTACTGTTATCAATCGGTGATTAATGGTTTCCCCTGATCGCCTGTTTTTCAGAACATTTCTAACTTCCATTTGGGATGGTTATTAGGTTGCATTGTTCAGGTATGCATAATCGAGAGGTCGTGGAACAAGTGGACATTGGCTACCGAATGCCAATGCCAAGGGGATGTCCAGAACAGATCTACAACGAGGTTCGTGTTATACTTCCTAATGTTTATTCGGATCCAATCATGCAATATGGCTTTGCTAATTTAATATCAGATTAGTGTAATAATCGCCGAATTGCAGGTGATGTTGAAGTGCTGGGATAAGGTTCCTGAGAGGCGGCCGACATTTGACCATCTGTTCCATTTCTTCGACGACTATTTCGTCTCATCTCAACCAAATTACGTTCCTCCCAGTGTTTAGGCTCTTTAATTTATAATAATTGTTTGTGTTGTTTCACTTATTTCGAATTCCTAACCTCAACAATATGCATAGTAATCTGGGTTCATAGAAGGGTCGCCACTGCCGTCGGCCACACTTACTGTGAATAATAATACTCGCCGTTTGCCAGTTCCAACTACCAGGGGTCTAATACATAGACTAGTTATTAAATGTTGTTTTCGAATGTGTTATTATCTGCATGTTGTGCATTATATCATGTATATACTACATTGTTGACTATTCATGTGCTGTTGCTACCGCTGCCATCATTCCTTTCGCCGCCGCCCCTTACATAACGGTTACGTCCTAGTGTTTGGTGCGTCATTTTTCTTTCCTTTTCAGCAAAGCTTAATGTATCAACGATGGAAGCGAAAGCGTTTTACCATTCATTTCGATTGTGAGATTATTGCTGCGATTGACATTAATTATAGTAATATATTGTGTTCTGAGCGATCTACGTTCGTTATTTCTGCCATCACACAGACTTTTTGTTCAATTATGTTGTCATGTTGTCATATAGACATAATTAATATGGATCAAATTTGACTATGATGAATTGATTTGTGATAATTAAGGGTGTCCGTTCGCATGAAAGATGATTGGGGCGCAAAACCATTTGCCCCAACGACTAATCCTTTTTACGCCCGGAGATTAGTGGCGCACACATCTGCGCGACTGCTGCATGCTGGGAACGAAGTAGGCCCGCCTCCATCTTCGAGGCCACGAACGATTGGCACCCATTGCACCCCTTTCAAGCATAATTTTGGCGCTAAAAGTATTCCTCATTGATCAATCTCTTCGTCGGTTCGAATTCCTCAGAAGAAACAGTTGATTCGAACAGCTTTCTGTTCTTTTTGTGAAAGCTATCCCTTTCACAAAAGTTGCTTGATTGGGAGGTCGAACTTTGGCTTGCTCAATCTGTTCACGTCACGTCACGTCTCATCACGTCTCTACTGTTTATTCAGTGTTTGTCCCTCAACTTTAACCAATCCTGGTTGTAAACTTTTCTGTCTGCTTCATTAAAAACACGAATGTTCTTGAAAATGAACTTTACTTGCTTTGTGATGATAAGTGCCATCCAAAACTCAGGCATACCGTTTTGCTGAAATACTACTTCCTCAAAGTGAACAACACTTCTTATTAGGGTCATGTTCAATGCGTCTATTCTGGCCGGCTCTTTACGATGCAGTCGAGTTCTTCGATCTGCATCATATTTCTTATATTATACCTGGTCTTGAACTGGCGTAAATTGACCTAAATAAATTTGGAATCAAAACATCTGAGAAATAATGCTATATCGTTGATTAATGCCGGAGAATTTGTAGTCAGAAATTGGAAACTGATAGTATGTTAGACGTGTAAAATTCGAATTGCAAGAGAACTGTCGCGTAATTCGAGTAGGAATGAATAGTACTCTCAGAAGTGGTGGAGGGGACATTTCTCAAATGAGGATCTTATAATTTTTTTGTGTTGGTTGTACCTTTTTATCCGTCTTTCTGCCTTTTCGTCGGTCAGTTAGACAGTTGCATAAAGTAGTAATTCAGGGGCAAATTCAGGGCGTTAGATGACACCCCTTTTTTTCCGCGATGCCATTTTGGCCATGATCAGAACGCAGGAATCTAGACAAAGGTATGCTGTCAAGGTTGTATGAGTCAGCAGTTCTGTGAATAGAGGCCAGAAAAGAACGTTGTCATGTCAGCTCCATTCACTGTTTGGTATGCATGAACGAGTCCTGACCCTCCCTTTTTTTGCTTCAGAAATTATCCCAGTCACGTAAGCGTGGAAGGCTATGCGTTCCTGGATGGCCTTGAACTAAATCGAGTTCGAACACATAGTAGATAAGATAGCGTCTTTTCGCGAAGAACGTTTTCGATTGACTAGTTTATCTGCTATATTTTTGAAGGTGGAAGTTTGTTAGACATGTTTTCCGTGGGCCGTTAGGTGGCGCTTGAATACGTTTTTCTTGAAGAATGTGGCCCGAGGTGATTTACGACCATGTTTTGATAGGATCTGGTTTATTTTTTCCTGGACAAACCTCTGAGTTTTTTTGGTTGGTGTTCCGGGCAGATTGGTAGCATTGAGCGGACACATCGTGAAACGATAACGCTTATTGGTTCAGTATGTATAGCGCCATTTGAAGTGATTGTTATTGTTATTTTGTTTTAGCGTACATTCAGTAGGGCGCAGAAAAAATCTCTCAAATTCATTTCTACATGGATGCGATAGTACTGTCATAACAGTAGTTATAATTTCGGCAACAACAAAATGACGTGCTCAATGCGGTGCATGCTGTATTTTTAAGTGACTACAAATTGTGGAATTACCTGATGTGGGAGTACCGTGGGAAAACATTATAAAAGGAAAGCTAGAGAGGCCTACAGAAGAGATTTGAGAGATTTCACTAATAGTAGGATATGTGTTGATGAACGTTATGATAAAAATGTTTTCGAAAAATCTATCTAAAAGATTACTAATTAGCGAATTCACAGCAAGCCAGGGTAAGTGCGTATCAACAATTTGCATAACATATTTTATGGAGTTGATTTAATTAATCCTCTGTTTTGGTAGTTAATCTACATTAATATGTTCGTGCGTAAATGCTGTAGTAATTTGCATTTTGTTTCGTTTTGAAATTGTATGCTCCATTTAGAGTATGAAAATGTTACCGCAAATTCAAAAGGCGAGATTTTTTTACCAAACGATCATAACTCCAGTATTCTTGGCACTAGTAAAAGTGGTGTAACGTCGGGATTTCTACTCTCAGTGGTATAGAGGTGTTTCGGTTCACGACAGACAAATACTCCCTAACGATTATGGCGAACAAGGTCTCGGAGCGAAGCCATTCTGCCGTCGTTCAGCACCGGGTGCAATCAGTTCATAATTGCTTGTAAAAACCTCCGAAATAATGTTGTAGAATACTTTCTTTGCCTTGGGGTTCATTAAATGTCATTCCTCCACTTTTTGTGTTCCATACCTTTTATGTTGCCAATGAGTTTTCTCGTACCTGAACTCTACGGAAGTTTTAAGGGTTGAAAGGGCTGTAAACAGTTTTTCTACGTTCCGGCACAAGTTTTAATGACTAGGAATAGTGCTAATTGTGTTAGTTCGCACCCAGTTTCTTCAAGATGCTCATTGTTCCTAGATCAAGTTTTTCGGGTGTATGGCGTTTAGCAAACTATCGAGGAGGTTAAATGGCAGTTAGGCGACCGTTCACCTTTTACTGGTGTTTCGCCGAATAATTGAACACATAAAGAAGGGGCTCGGTGACGTCGGTCGGCGACCAGCTGTGTAGGTGGGGCGGAACCTTCGGGCAGTGCTGATAGTGGCTGAGCAAAAAGGGCGCAGGAGTTCGACGAATCACTCAGAGGCGGAACTTCAAGGTCTTCTTGTCCCCATTGAAAACGTGTGTTTATTCTAAAAATTGTGTAGCTCACCTCTTTAGCTTTCAGCCAAAACCAACAATATGGGACTTGTTTCCAAGTTAGTGCTCAATCGCTCTTCTGTCAGTGGATTGTGAGTGGAAGTTCTTTCAACTTATAAGCTACAGAGGTTAAGGTACCGGTCTGTATCACCAGAAATAAGTTATTGGCTCTTGTGCTGAACTGTTCTATTATCCCTTAGTACTTTTGGAAGTTCTCTCAAGTGTTCAAATCCGTTTTTCCAAACATGATACAAGTTGGTAAAATATTCGGTCACCTAGTTACCGCTTAATATCTTTTTCTATTGGAAACGGGTATTCTAGTTGCCCTACACTGCTGAGAAGATAACGACAGTATGTTGGACCGGTTTTCGTAATATGTTCGTTATAGAATCGTGTCCACTGTTCCAAATCCGAGCTGCATCCATCGCCAATGTAATTTTTTTTCCTAATAATTGCATTGCCAAACGTTTTCACTTTTCTAAATCTCGTTAAGCTAATATTTCTAGAAATAATCTTGAATTTCTGTGTCCTTTATTATTGCCAGGTATCTGTCATAGATTCTATCTTTTTGGAAGACTTCATAGGGCATCTTTCGTTCAGGAACAGTGCGCTCAGGTTGCCACCATTTAGATAGTTTTGAATTTCCACGGCATGTTATGTAGGTGACAAGGGTTCACGAGAAATAGCGTTGCACTTGTTGATAGGCATGAACTTCAGAATGTAAAGTTCCTTTTAAACCCCCTACACATGTTCCACCAAAGATTGTTTCTGAACTGCCGTATCATATCTTTTCTGCCAGAATTATAGGCTTCTTATTTGCCGAAATATGCAATCGTAAGTGAAAAACGAGACTGATCACCCTGTTTACCCGCAGATAGTGTTGCAGCGTACATTCCTCATGTCTGCTGGCGGCTTGTTAGTGATATGCATACATCTCGTCGTTCTATGAAAATAACTCCAATAATTTGTTTGCAACCGTTTATAAAATAGATCTGTCATCTATTTTATGGAAACTTATGCGCATATAAAGATGGTATGTTGAACTTTAGACCTAAAATAGATTGTAAAGCCTTTTTCGTCGTTCTTGTCTGGACGACATTGTGTACAAGACTAATTTGATTGTTATATTCAGCACTAGTTATAAATGTATTCAGACGTGTTGATATAATTCAATCCTCAAAAGTAGAAGGCAATAAACGTTGGAATTCCTTCATATCAGATCGATTTATCGCGAATTCCGAAGCTTCCGGTCTTCCAAGAATTTTTTCGTCATCTCTTTTCCTCAGATCGTTTTTTCGCCTTGCAGTTTCTTGTGAGTTTACTGAGGCTCGTTGTGGAAGGTCGGGAAAGACTGCTGGCCATTTTTTTTTTACAAAAATTCGCTTTTTTTCATGGCGTTTGGAAGAGTCAGTTAAACATTAGTGACGTGTAATAGCCCATTTATCAGGCGTACTTGAGCAAAGCAGGTCATTTGGGTGGTGAAGGTCAAGTCTTATATTTTGGAATTTTTTGTTGATTCACATTATTTTTTTTTTTACAAATTTAGATTTTCTGTTTTCACAAGGTCTAAAACTCTGAATGAAATAGAACATGGCACGTGATAGAACTCTCTGTTGAAATTGATTGAATTGGAATACATTTCAAAAAGTAACAGTTGATAAGAACGTCGCAACACTTGTTTCTAGGTGAGCTGTGCTGCCATGTTTCCCGTTTTCAAAGCGTATGGTGATGTTTTTCCGTTGTTGCACTTTACTCGTGCATCGCTTTATTTTTTTAGACAAGGTTGGTGAATTATGGACAAAACTTCGGCCTGGGACGGGGCTCGAACCTGTACTTGTGCTTCCCGGGCACTGTGCCCGTTATCCATTACACTACCGAGACTTTTATCTTACAGCTTACGTAAACATGTTCAACCGGTCAGAAAATGTCAGCATCAAGTCAAACAAGTTAAATCAAGAGAAGCTTACAGCTTAACAGTCCAATGAACAAGGCCAGGGCAGCGGGGTCTCGGTAGTAAAGGGAAAAGAGCATGTGTCCTGTTTGCACGGCTACGGGTTCGAGTTCCGTCCGTGACCGAAGTTTTGTCCATAAGTTGCCGACCTTAGAATACCTTCAGATCGCCTACTCCGGCGAAATAACAGCAGTTGACAAAACGTTCTGTTTTTCTTTTGTAAATAATTAAAGATTTCTGAGCTATCACTTCATTTTTCCTTCTGTTACATTTTGAAACCGCTTTACATACATTTGTTGGTGAACTTGATCGATAGCTTCACAGAAATGATGATATATACAAAATGTTTCTTTCCTTCGTCTTTCCACCTCCATCCGTTGTTTGGTTGCTTGTATCAGGTGGCATTTAGGTTTTTCTGTGTGAACGATTGTTTTCATTTTCGTGGAACTCGATAGCACTGTGCGCGTTGACCGCAGTGTGACAAATCACTCTATCGGCGGTTCTAATGCGGCGTTTTGCGCTATCTTATGTTTAACCGTTATCGCATTGATCCCGTCGACGTGACCGATTCCTTCGCAAGAAACTCACCCGGATATCCATTTCTGTATGAGTAACGCTTATGTTCAGATGTGCTGGTAGCGATCATATCCCCTACCCGGCTCTGCAGGCGGTGGTCGTCGTCGAAGTGGTGATTATGATGACAAAGGGCAAAGTCAAAATACTACTAGCAATTTTCATTGTTGGTGGTGTGTTGCATCTCATCGTCGACAAGGTGAACATTAATCATTGAATTGTGCCTGTTTTCATTTGCACATTATTTTACATTTAGTTGAGGGCTAGTCGTGTGAACTTCTTCTCATGACAACTATTTATACCGTCTATTTTAGAAACCCCCGTTTGTTTTTCTTTTTCTGACATTATTATTATTATTCATTGATGAATCAAGGCCAAAAAAGAAACATCGAAACTTCATGTTGATATTTCGAAAGCCTGTTATCAATAGTCTTTTTTTACTATAAACTGCTGCAAAGATTCCGCTATCAGATGTGATTCATTTCTCTGGATGTCTTTAATTCTCCCTATCCTCCCCTTCTTCTTTTTTCCCTTCTCTCTCATCAGAAAATGCGAGATTTTCCAGGTATGAGTGGGTTTATCCATTTATCTGTGACTGGACTACAATGTTGCTCTTACATTTAGAACCTCATATACTTATGAACCACTCATGGTTTACTCTTATAGGGTCAGTTGATTTACAACAACTTCGATCGCATCAGTACTTATGTAGACAGCGATCCGTTGGAGTATGTACTGGCAAATACGGCTACCCATCTCGATGAGGAACATCATTCTACGATACCGTATTTATCCAGCGACACAACCACAGGCACGCGCCATCCGCACATAGATATGATGTTGAATGCAAATGATACTGATGAAGGTGAGTCTTGTATATATGATCAGTCGTGTTTATTCTGTTGATATTTTGGATCAATCCTTCTGGTGCTTTGTTTATCTTTTACTATGGAGCTAATGCTTATCGGCTCAATTTTTATAAACTCTTCCTTTTGTTTAATTAACAGTACTTTGCAAATCGATGTGCAAAGCTATAAGTATTAATAGCACGAAATAGTCTTGTTGTAAATTGGAATAACCTAGAATTTGATTTAGCTGAATTTTTCTCATCTGGATAATAAAGAACTCAAATTTCGAGCTGATTAGAGAAGGAAACCTCGTAGTGGGGTCTACAATAAAAGCAGCACGAATACATATTTTGAGAATAAATGTCGAGAATAATTTGCACAAAATGTGGACAGTCTTTCACGATTCATTTGCGTAGGTTAGTCGGAATCGAAGAGAAAGTAAGGAGAGAAATAGAATCAGATTTGTGGAGCACGAAGCTGAGAAACGAAGAATTATGGGACCCATCTGTTCCAAGGCCCAAATACTGTAACTTTTGCAACGAATGATTAAAAGCTTTGTTTGCAGATGTTGAAGCCTCAAATGTTACCTATCCGTTGACGATTCAACGGTTAGAATTGGAATCCTGTCCTTTGACGCCACCTCGTCTTGTCGGACCCATTAGAGTATGGATGGACGCACCGACGTTTTCTTCACTGGAGAAACTCTATCCGTATCTAGAAAATGGCGGCCACGGGCAGCCAAAAGATTGTAAATCGCGGCATAGAGTGAGTCTCAATGGTTCTTTTCAACTTTCTTTTCCGAGTACGTTATTTATCTTGCCTTTTTTGCCAAGCGATTTGTTGTTGGGGTTTAGGTAGCAATTATCGTACCGTATCGTGATCGTGAATCTCATCTACGCATAATGCTCCATAATCTGCATTCATTTTTAACAAAACAACAGCTCGATTACGCAATCGTTATTGTTGAACAAATTGCCAACCAGACATTTAACCGGGCGAAGGTATTTGCACTTTATCACTTTGACTGCAAACTTTATCTGCAAGCTTCCCCCATTCATATCCACTCGCCTCTTTTTTCAGTTGATGAATGTCGGATTTGTTGAGAGCATGAAGTTGTACCCGTGGCAGTGTTTTATTTTTCATGATGTGGATCTTCTCCCTGAGGATGATCGCAATTTATATTCTTGTCCAACGATTCCACGACATATGAGCGTGGCTGTGGATAAATTTAATTATCAGTGGGTTTACATTTGTATTTTTTGGTCTCACAACGACTTCGCAACTTTTGAAATGGTTACAATTCAGACTTCCATATACCGCCATATTTGGTGGCATAAGTGCGATGACTGTTGAACATTTGCAATCTATAAATGGATTTTCTAATCGGTATTGGGGATGGGGTGGAGAGGACGATGATCTTGCTGACAGGTTTGTCATTTGATCGCTTTTATTTCCTTGTGATGAATAATTATAATAATTATTATTATTTGGATTCAACTTTTAAAATCTCTTTCGGAGCAGTGAGCAAGTAACTGCCATTTTGCGTTTCTCCTGGATCACAAAATAACCCGTTTTTCCCTCAATATCAAATATCAATTCAAATTCAAAGTTCGGAAACTCCCATTGTTCTAGCGATCGATTCCAATTCGGATTCTTTCCAAAGGTACCGCAAGGACATTGAGTCGACAATCATAGGCCCGAAAAAGAGGCTATATAGATTTGGTCAATGAGTGATCGGCAAGGTTCCTATGCATGCCTTCTTATGCATGCCACATTGTTGGGAATGATGTTTGAGTTGTTGTCACTGCTGTTTCTCAATGGTTGCCTAGTGTTGCGTACCCCCACTCATACATAGTTAATAAGACTTAATCATTGAGTGTTTCGTTCTTTCAAGTCGTTCAAGAAACATATTCATTGAACATTGAAAAAACATCCAAAAATAACGGGTATTCCTTTATGTTCTTTAGCTACGAATCCGTTCTGTTCAGAGTGTCTACAGTCGGCTATAAAATAGCACGTTATCCAGCAGAAATCGCACGCTATAAGATGATCAAGCACGTTCACGAAGAGAAAAGTAATCCTATAAACAAGTCAGTTGTTGTATCTTGATTTTTCATTCCTTTCACAGTTTTAGTTCGCTGCTACAAACGTCATTTAGATGCCGATACAAATTAATGGCCCGTACAAAAAAGGAGTGGAAAAATGACGGTCTCAACTCGCTCGAATACAAGGTACTTAAAGTGGAACTCTTGCCGTTGTATACACATATTTTGGTGGATTTGTTGGAAAACAAAGAAAGACCAAAGATTCGACACGCTTTTAATTGTTAGGTATCGATTATAGTACACAGAAGTTGCCTCTATTCTTTTCTCAGGTTACTATCTTCGTATAGGTACTACTTAAATTCTCGGATAGAAGAGATATTGATGAAGTCGGAGAGGTCTGGGAGTTTCCGTTTGTACTCGGGTCAAAAAAATTTGGCGCTATGTCCCGAAGTTTATCTAGAAAATGCCAGACTGAAGTATTCCTCGAAAGCTCACTAGAATGCCAGGCATATCCAAGGAGCTGAAATGTTGCAGTAGTGGTTTCTTCTTTGGAGTAGTATCATTTTACCGCCGACGTTGTCTTTAGCTACTACAGTATTTTGGATCCTTTATATTCAATTACCGCTCGATGAACTTCGCTTCTGGTTTGGTCACTGGAGAGTAAGAAGCACGCCTGTAGTTTCCCACGAACAGCTTAATAAATGGATAGGGTAATTCCCTTGGAGGAGTTAGTGAAGGAAAAAAAAAACAAGTAATTGAATGAATTTCAAGATAATCACTCTACATCTGCTCCATTTCCATTTTGGGAAACTGCCATTTGGGTAGGTTACTTCAAAACGTTGTTTCGTCCTGATTATTTCAACGCTCTTGAATTAATCAGCCTCTTAGTATGCGTTGAAAGGGCACGTACAGGCTAAACAATAGAATCGGGTACTTTTGTGTTCGTGTCAAAAGTCGCTATAACAGTCAAATCGTTTTCCCCAAACGTTAGCGCGCCTACCCCTGCTACGACCGAGCATAGAATTCATTCTCGCGAATTATTTACAATAGGGACCACATGTACAATCGAAATTGCCCAGACTCTTGTCCACTAACCCACTGTATGATAGAAATGTTTCCAGTGTAGCCGAGAAACGGTGTTTTTGTTTATTACCAGGTGCTACTTACAATTAGAATTATTTTCATTCGTTCAACTAGTCTTCTGTTTTGATCAGCGCCGGCAAACTCGTCTCTTACTGTTTGTGCTATATCCGGTCCATTTTTCGGGACGAGTATGTCTGCAAATGGACCGTATACGCTTCGGGTTTCTAGCCTTTCTTGCTGATTACGATTTATCTGTGATTATTAATGACTGTATCTATGTTTCATCTCAATTGAGATAAAGTATTCAAATTTATGTACAAAACAAGTAATCCATTGAAAAAGCTTGCATATATATCTATGATGTTAAAATCCATCTGAAGACCAGAAGTTAGAAACACGTAGAACTACTGCCAATTTCGAACGAAAATGGTCTATTATGGGTGGTACCAGAAGATCAATATATCGTAACAAGACAGCAGATCTACCTTAAAAACTGACCTGCCTTTCAATTTCTCATAACGATATGATCAATTTTGTAAACGGGAATATTCTGCTTAGAGTATGTGAGGACACGTGAAAGATTGCCATGGAAACAGAATCAATGGAAATAAAGACTACCCGAAATATACTAGCTTGTCACACATTCTGGACGTTCAGGGCTTCTTCCCATCTGAAATGCCATCAATTACCGAACGATGGAGTAGGAAAAGATCCTCGAAATAGGAAATATGCCGTAGAACGAGCTAACCATTCGAGATCCAATGAATCGTAGAAATATATCTCGTTCGTCCGCAGAATGCCGATTGCGTTGGCCAAAATGCGACCACGGTTCCGCTATTCGTCTCTCACACTGAAATATCTTAATTAACTTCGTAAACCGTCGGTCAACTGACCGTATACGCTGCTCTATGGAAACTCACGTTATTCTATGCGGGCGTTGTGAAAAGGAAAAGTAAAGTCTCACCTCTTTGCCCTCCTCCATTGGTTGCCAGAATCGAATCACTTCTTCGATACCGGATGTAGCTAACAGGAATTGATTGGGATGTGGTTGGACGATATTGAGAATCGATTGATCGGCACTCCATGCAGCAACAAGAACGCCCGAGCTGCGCTCCCATAACAACAGAGATCCGCAGTCAGATCCGGCGACTGAACGAAGAAGTTTTAATGTTTTTTGTTGAAAACAAAAATTCATAAATGAACATTCGTAAAAGCTCACCAACATATTGATTTCTCGATCCGAAAAAGTTAGCTTCTTTTATGTCGGTATGGGTATTCGTCTGGCCACAGAATCTCTCTATAAAAAATTGTATTCTATCCACTATCGTGCGATCGAGTTGGAAAGTAGCAAAACAAACGTCCTACAACCTAAATCTCAAAAAGGCAACATTTTCGTCTCCAAGTCTGAACCAAAACATTCTAACAGGACGAAAGAACGAGTTTTGCTGTGGTAAGTGAGATGTGATAACCTACCGCTATAGTCGACAACGTTGGTATCATCGCACATGACATGCGACTGGTGAGCATGTGCAGAATCCATAGCAACACTTATCTGTAATAGTTGTCCATATTTCCAAAATGAAACGCTACATATCGACAAAATATTTTTCAGGTATGTGCAGGGAAAGGAACGACGGCACGAATGATGAATAGACTGTTTAATTGTCTTCAAAGTCTCTTCTTCTAACATAAAAACATAGTTGCGGCATCCCTAATTCATGGTACAACCTTCAAACGAAAATAATGCACTGGGAAATAGGAAACTGATTTGTAAGTTCTGAAAGTCCCGGGAGAACTTCTTTCAGGACGCCTTAATAGAAACTAACCTGGTCAGATAGTCTCACTATAGAGCGATCATTGGGAAATCGTTTTTTGAAAACTTCAATACACTCTTGTGCTAATTCCCACTGCTCCAGAAGCATCAAAGATCGTGTTAATCGCCACAAGGCTTTCGAATTCCCGGGATAAAGAAGCAGTGCCTAAAAACTGCCAACTACAAATAATCCAAGACACAAAGTGACGGATAACATTAAAATCCAGCACAAACAAAACTGTCCTCACCTCAACGCAATCACGGACACAGGCATATGAATCGCCTTCCCACCTGCGACAAAGGTAGCCCATACCGCGGTTTGCCAAAAGTATACTTTTATCGTAGTTACCGGGAGAGAGGCTGAGAGCTCGGCTGTAGATTTCGATTGCCTGTAACACTTTACTTATAAGACCTGCAGTCGATTCAATGAGTGTTTGCTGAGATTTAACTCAAATCGTATGTAAGTAAACTGAATTGGAAATTGGAACTTTCGAGGAAGAAAAATCCGACCACAGCATTAGGAGAAGTAAGAAAACCAGGATAGAAAACATTAAAACAAAGCGGACAAACCTCAGGAAATTTCTTGGAGTCAAAAAATCCCTTGGCTTGCTCTCTCGCATGAGTGAAAGTTGGAGTGTGTTTCCCATTAGTGTGCACTTAAACAATTGAAAAAGTAATCAAAAAAGCAGGGTAATTTGTTGGTTTAGTTGAAACATCACGCAGCAAATACATGGCATTGCCAGTGACGCGGTTAAGGATAAGAACTACAAAGACTTTGTACGCAAACAAAATAAGACCAACCTTCTTCTTCACTTTCAATTATTGATTTGATTTTCTGCAACACCGTAGGTCGATCATCTGATTTCAGCTTGAACAAATAAATGGGACCGCAGCCCTGATTCACCTAAAACAGACAGCGAATAGTGCAATTAAACATTCTTGAAAAAAAGGAGAGATTGAAATTGAAGAAACATACAAGAAGCTCCGTTCCCATCTCATCAAAAGAAACATGAGTGGTGTAAGTAAAATTACTGTGGCATTTATCGTCAGCTGAAACAACTAATTTCAGATATCCGATAACTGGAAGCGACCCAATCCTACTTACCATTTACACACGTCAGCAACGGCTTATCCAGCTTTCTCCTATCATAGATAGGAACAGCAGCTTCATCCGTAGCGACAGCCACCTGCGGCAAAAGTATCAGTTCAGGAAAGAAATTACGGGGGGCAGTAGAAAACATACAAGTTCGGTGCGTCCTTGGCAGACTGCGAACGACTTCACATGCTTTTCTTCTGTATTAATAAGCTTTCTTTCCGCGTTGGTTCTAGCATCGTATTCCCTGAGACAGTAGAAAACTTCAGATGGTTTTTAACAGTAGTGTATTAAACAAACCTAACGTAGCTGTCCTCAGAAGCAGACCAAAACAAGTAGGGCTCATCCTGCGCAGTTGCCAACCGCTTCACTCTTCCACCAGTGGTCCAAGTGATTGGTTCATCTGTAAGCAAATACAATGGTTTCATGAGAAGCCTGTAGTGGACTACCTCCATAGTCTGTCTCACCTCTTAATCCGTCGATGTCGTGCATTTTCACCTGACGATCACCAGCAGCGGAAATCAGAATACGATCATTACCTAGATGGAGATCAAGGGAGCTTTCACGAGGAAATCGATCATTAATGCAATCATATCAGAACTGCACCACTATCATACCTGCGGGCAAGAATTCAACGGCAAATACATTAGCATGATGACCAGTTTCGACAACTGTAAGGCAATCTCCGGCTAGGTTCCATATTTTCACCCTTCTGTCGTCGGAGCCGGATGCCAAAAGGCTGAATGCAAAATCATGTAAAAGCTATGAAATGGCGGCTTGCTGAAAATGTATGAAGATATTGAAACCCTGAAGCCTGCAAGGGCCACAAACTACACTTCACACATGCTAAACCTACGTGCCGCCGCGGTTCCATCGCAATGTGTTCACGCACGTTTCGTGGGCCTGAAATTGATTCTTCATTTTTTAATGATCAGAACAGCAGCAGAAAAAATCAAAATGGTCAAAGGACCATCCGTCATTATCGTTAACATCTGTTCCAATGATCCCTAATTAGAGAAAGAATGAACAATCATATTTATGATAAAAAGGACAAAAAGCAATGCATTGAGACAGATTTTGATCAGTATACCAGATACGATAAAAAAGAACAGCTACGAATCCCTACATACCGAATGTTTCCAGGTATTGTATTCTATATCCTATACAGAAAGCGCAGCCAAATATTCAACTTCAGTTCCGTTCTATTCCACAGCAAATGAATAGTCGATGTGTAATATATGGAAACTTATTTCACACCCCACATATATATCCATTACAGCTTAAGCGGAGGATAACAAAAGCCTACGCTTCGTTCTATCAAACTAGTCAAGAACTCATGTCTCAACGAAATTGAATTTTTCTGCTCTGTTGGATGACTTCGCACACCCTTTCAAATATTTCAATACAATTCCACCGAATCCTGGCTATCCTCCCGCTATGCGAAAATATTGAGTTGTAACATAAGTTCGTAGAGTTTTTTCACAAAGATTTATTTGAACCAAAAACAATAATTGTAATAATAAATTAACCAATGATGAATCCTCCATTACTGCTCACGACCTCCTCCCATCTCTCGACCAATTTGTTGATGTCGATTCGCCAAAAATCGGCTGTTGTGGTGTCGAATAATTTGTTGAGCCAGTTTTTAAGATCCCCTTCGCCATCGAAAGTAACACCCCTCATTTGGTTTAACATGGAGCGGAAAAGGTGGTAGTCGGCAGGTACAAGATCCGGAGAGTGCGGTGGGTGCTGAAGAACCTCCCATTCCTCTTGGAGTGCAGTTTTGACGACTTGAGCAATATGGGGCCTGGTGTTGTCGTGGAGCAAGATGACTTGACCTCGTCTATAAGGTCTTTTCAGCCGAATAGCCTCATTTACACTGTTCAGCTGGGCAATGTAGACCTCCTTGTTGACAGTGGCGTTTCGTTCGAGCAGTTTCCCAGTGTACCGTGCCTACCCAGTCCCACCAAACGCAGATGATGACCTTATTTGTTTGAAGATCTTGCTTGACTCTCGGCTTCGGTGCCTTTTCTGGGGCCACCCACACCTCCCCGTAGACACACCTACGACACCTTCCCCGTACACATTGCATATGTCCCGAGCGGTTTCGGCTGTTTTTTGATCTCGACGAAAAGCAAAGAAAAGCAGATGTCGAAAATGCTAATTTTTTCTTCCTGGGTACTCCATTTCTAAGCCCGAAAAAAGATGAACAATTGAACCATCCTAAAAACAAATAAAACAATTTTGTAGAGGAGAAGGAGCTCTTTCGAATGAATGCATACACTTTGCTGAAAAGCAAAATAATTCATACAATACAATTATAAAATAACTCTAACGCAAACTCTACGAACTTATGTTACAACCCAATAGAAACCCTTGCTGTAGTGCCCCTTGTTTGACTCCGCCACAACAAACAGACAGATATATTCCCATCTCATACTGGGGAAACGATAGTCTCCAGCATGGAAAGTTCACAGCGCCTCAGAGAATGCTTTGCGACAAATATATCACCACCGCGCTGGCAGCCAGTTCATGCGGAGAACTCGATTCGGAATGATTTCTGATCCCCTGGTTTCGTGATAAATACTGCTTACTTCAGTTTAGTGACATCAGATTGTTCACCGGAAACGAAGTGTTATATCCCCTTCGCAAGCCACTGAAGACCTTATAAAAATCAAAATCTATATTATTTCCTTGAAAAAAGGAATGTTTCAACTTGGAAAAGTCGACTGGCAAAAACTTCTTTGTGACTTGGAAAACTCCATGCGCTCTAAAGTTCACTTAATATTTCTCCCTACTTGGCAGAAAAGAGACTGGTCTGATCGATCAGCAGTCAGAATTACTCTTTACATTGAGTACTCGACTCACTCAACAGAAAGGTAAAATGTAATCGAGCAGAAGTTAATCAAACACTTGTTAGACCACCTTCATTAAACAAATGGTATCTTCCTGCGCCTACTTCATCCACTTGACTATAAGCACATGCTGGAAAGGGTTAGATTGAAGAGACGCTCCCAACGTCTATTGCCTTATTCAATGAAGTCAATTCGAAATTTGGAATACAATATCCCCAGAAAGACTTCGTTAGGAACTTTTTCCTGAAAGTATAGCGACGAAAACTAGTTTTAATGGCACGAAGTGAATTACACATTGGAAAAACCACAGTACACCTTTAGCGCTCGATCAATACATTTCTGATGGAAGGAAACCAAAACTCAATTCCCACAACATGAGGTACAGGAAAACTTTGTGCGGCTCAATAAAAACATGCTTGTGAACGGAGAAAACATTCCTAACTACTCTCCAGCCTTCACAATCACCAGCATAATCAAAGTGAACGACAATATGAGGTTAAACGTAATCGATGCTAAACTTGTATCTTATAAAATGTCAGCCTGTTTATCTGCCATCCCTACAAATTTAGCCACTGATCGATTGATCGAATAGCCTGACAAGTGTTCTGGGGTTACTGGATAATGAACTGCATCCTAGCATGATTATATTCATTATATGCTTTTATTAACACCATATGAATTCGCTGCAGCTGAGGGAGATCTCATATGTTCAGAAATCAACAAGAACGGCAAAGCGGAACTGGTCTTTCCCTTAATCAACTTTTTTTTGTATGTCACATCAACTCCGTTAATTGCACGAGACTTTGATTTAAAACGTGCTCGGTACTTCCGCTTAAGTTATTGCCACTTAAAACACAGACACAGAAACATCTGTAAAGCCGAAACAAAATGGAAGGGCAAGACAAGAAAAGCAGTGAGGAAGAAACCACAAAAGGAAGAAATAATGCAGGAAATGAGCAGGCATTCAAATGACTGATGACGTACCAGTTCGGTGGGACAACTTCCCGAGTGGCAGAGCATATTAAATGGTAAATGTGGGACTTGGATTATTTTGAATATATAACATCAGAGAGAAAGATTCAGCTCCAAAGTTCGATAAAATATGAAAAACCCATTAATCCGAAAGAGTGTGACCCAAATAACTAGGAAAGGAACATAAATTTATGGCCTTGTAACTGTCCCATACATTCCTTGCAATGACTACCAAACTTTTTCTCAGTTTAGACCACAACCACCTAAGTTCAACACAAAAAGAGTAGCTACAAGCTTTTTCATTCCTCAATACGATAGCAATGTACTTCCCTTCACGACGGGATGAGGTGCCATAAAGCTTTCACCTTCACTACAGATACCACTCTCATTCCAAGCACTGAAGTGCACGATGGGAATCGAAACGAACTTTGTAGTTATGTAAGGCACCTGCGGGTTCGCTCAGAAAAAAAAAACCAAAATCAATACCCAAGCAAAAACGTTTAGATTGACAACTGAAATCATAGGAATTCAAAATCCTCTTATATTAACTATGCTTACCTTGATTGTTCGAGTGTTTCCAATCCGCTGCACTAAGCGATCTTCGTCTATAAGTTTGTATCGATCCATAAATGTTCCAAAAAGTTCTCTATATTCTAATATAGACATCATCTTGGCCAGGCAGTTGCTGAAGAGCGAAGGCCGGGCCTCCGGTGATCAAAATCACCCTATTCTCTGTAAGAAAAAGATACGAAATCAGCTGAAAAAAGCTGATGTCATAGCTCTACACGAGAATGACGTCATTCGGAGAAGTGGACCATAAAAACGGACTCGGGAACTTTTTTGGGTTAAGAACTGAATAAAAAGATCTAGGAGCTAGTCGAAGCTTGAACTTGAAGGTTTGCCTTGCCAAGACTATCCCAAAAATAAACTGCCTGTAATCATCTTGGTATTCTCCCATACTAAATTTGGTAGTGTACACTTCATAAATGATAACTTCCCACATGGGAGAAATACGGTAGCGCAGGCAAACGAAAGTAGTGTAGCAGTGGGAAGAAGAAATCAGTTTGTATCAGTTTATACGTAACAAAAGTCGGTAGCACACATCACCAGGTGAGGACAAGGCAAATGCGCACAAGCACTTTGCAAACACCCCCTGTTCTCCAACATTCGCAACGGAGCGCGTCAGAATCCGGATCCAAAATGTCTCAACCCTGAACTTCAATATCGACCATAATCGATTCAGCCAAACAGCAAGAACCCGTCTTAAGCAGCAGTCGACTACTGACAGCTATCTACTCTCAGAACTATCAAAAGTGTTTTTTCTTACTTCTCAAAATTAGCTTACATTTCTAGATGAATGTTATGGGAACTTAGAAATTGATCAAGGAAATATGTGGGAACGGCGTTTCCCCAAAAATCACTCTTCTCGAAAAACGAGTAACGAGTGCCAAAGCACTCTGTAGAGAAAGCTTTGGTTGGAATATTCTTAGCAATGTCCTGGTCAACATAGTACTTGAAAAAGTACCTTTTTGAGAAGGAATGTGTTCTATTTGAAGACATCTCTAAAGGAACGTATGGTCGTAACCTGCCCACAAGCTCTATGAGCAGCTGTGTTTGGTGAAAAGTGCGACCTATCAAACATTACACACTGAAATCAAGTGTGTGAGAAGCGTATCTCAAAGCTACCCAGGAGAGCTCATGGAACACAACAATCCAAGGTCCACAGGAAAACCCAGTAAGAAGAAGGCTCCAACGATATCCCACAACTAATCTACAAGTTTCGCATGATGAGAGATTGTAGAAGGCAGATGTATGTAATATTAGTGCATATGTTAGTGGGCAGCGTTGGTGGGTGTTCAATAAGAATATCAGCAGTTCATTGTAACAGTTGGCGTTCGCCGGTGGCAACTAGACTACATTGTACTGTTATCAAAAGTACTTTACGTTGACATTTGGCATACGTAAAGATGCTTACTTTTTTTCAGAGACCATCACTTGTTACTCCTACAGTTAGCACCATACGATGCACGCTCTTATCGAGGGCTTGAAAATTTGCGCTGCTTGATTTAGCGTAAAGACTAGTAACAACTACCAATGGCAAACTCATAGGCTGCGCTCATACTTCACTATGACCATTAGCAAAAAGCGACAGGTTGGTCCCGATCAATGTTTCATGTGACTGATATAAATGTGAATAACGAAGTAGTCAATAGTCATAATTAATGTAAATCGCTGAGCAAACAATGTAAAGGATGTAGTCAGTTGAGATACACAAAAAGCGAAGCACACTATTGAAAATGCCCACAGGCCAAAGGAAATAGAAGAGATGCGATGGTTATTGTACAGAGCAATTTTTAAAGTACCGCTGGCAATGCTAGCCATATTTGAATTTCAACAATAAAAAAATGCAGTTTGTATTTAGCAACTTTATCAAGGAAATTACAACTTATAAATTTTAAAGTGTACCCAGCACTTCCTAACGATACATTGCTAATATATCTATTTATATACACTCGCTAATATATCTATATACATATGTGCGGATTATATCACGCCGATTGATACCGTTCGAATAAAGTGAAAAAGGCAGGTAACGAAATCAGGTAAGAGGATCGCTTATTCATAAAGATCTCATGAATGCTGCTGAATTTTCTTTAAGGCATCATTCCTGAGCTGCTCCAGCTGTTTCTGAAAGACAAAACTTTCCGTTGTTCCACCTCAACATGCTATTGATGTAGAAAATAAAAATAGATTGCCATGAGCCTCATAAATTAGAGACGACGGAGAAGAAAATAGGGAGAATAGAGGGCAAGATTCCTCTCAAGAAAAAAGAGACAAATGAACCTTAGAAGCTACGAAAAGAAAAACGGGACAAAAAGGTGAGCGATAAAATATTAGGCAGATATATAATGGTTTGTAACCGAACAAACATCGTAGCCGCAGATCCAAAAACATTGGAATGTGAGAGAAAGCACCAAAACAGGATAGTAAGAGCGATCTGGGAAAGCAGAGAAATGCTATTGAAAACAGAGAAAGTTTCTACCATTAAGAGGAAAATAAAAAGACACCGGACAGGGAAACTGCTAATGAGAACAAAACGGATAAGGTTATGCAAGAAGAAGTCAAACGATAAGGATATACCTTCTTTTCAACCAATTTTCGATACTCCTGCAAGTTCGCGAGATTCATTATAGCGTTATGCCTAAAAATCAATCAATTCAAACTGACTCAACTGAACATATGACTATTGCATAATTATAGTGATCGACTCATTGCTGGAAATCATTCAATAACCTCAAAACGAAGGGTTCGAAAGAAAATGTGTGAGAAATAAACAGTTGAACTTGTCAAACTATCTTCTATCGGATGGATCAGAAAGGAAATCAGGCTATCCTTACTATGTATAAAGCGCTCTGTCTGTCTGTTTGTACGGAAATTCGATATAACCTGAAGAAGCACCTGGAGAAGTCGGGTCAAGTTCGGAATGGGTTGAGCATTGAGTAAGTGCAACAGAGCACATGTGAGCCTAGCGGAGCTCCGCCCCCAAGGGGCGGGGCATGCGCCGCCGCGGGGTGGGACAATGAGCAAATTCTCCTCATTCGGCCTCATAACAGTCCAGACGCCAGGAAAAAATGTGCAAAGGTGAGGGATGGGTTAACAATTAAAATAAAGGAAACTTGCCGGCGGTGGGCGGAGCGTTCTCGCAGTGGGCGGTACTTCCCGCAGAGATTCATAACTCGATTCAGCGAAGGTGTCAAGACCGGGAAAAAAATAAAAAGAGTGAGCAAGATCTATGCGTGCTAGGCATGCGTAAGCTTAGCGAAGCCCCGCCCACGATGGGCGGGGCTTCGCTAAGCTTACGCATGCCTAGCACGCATAGACCTTGAGGTGGATGCTACTTTTTGAAAACGACTGTAACTTTGTTCAAAAACCTTCTAGAACGTGGGAAAAACGTGGTTAGAGGTAATGGGACA